AATGGTTTGAGATCTTTAGTCATTTGCCATTAACCATCATAACTGTCACAGTGCTATATAATTTCTTTAATATTTCAGAATATCTGCCTGTTGCCTTTATACATAATTCAGCTAGTTATAATTCTGATGTTACACTTTGTTCCTCTCAGAACTTACAGACATTGCTCCATTTTTTCTGGCAGCATTGCAAGTTGCAGTGTAGAAAACTGAGACCAGCCTGATTTCCACACACATCCTCGATTTTTTTTTCTCTCTAGATCCCTGAAATAAATTTTCCCAATTTTTTATTTCAAAAATTAAAACAAGTAGAAAAATATCTAGATTCAGCAATCGCTGATATTTTCCATATTTGCTTAGTCTCTTATGTATGTGTATGTCTGCATGTGTATGTATATATTTCTCTATTTCCATTCACATTTCTTCCTGAATTAGCTAGAAATAAGCTGCAAACAATATTTTACTACTAAATACTTCAGGATGTGTTTCGTAAGATTTTCCTAAAAATAAAAACAGCAATTCCTTAATATCCTCTAGTATGCACTCTGCATTCAAATTTCCCTAATATTGTTTTTCCCCACATTCTATTTAAACTGTGGGGAAAAAAACCAAACCAAACCAAACCAGCAGGATCCAATCAGGATTCACACACTGTTTTTCATTGTTACATCTCGTTAGTCTCTTTTACTAAAGCAAGAATAATTCCTTGCTTTTTAGTTTTTTAGTTGTTGTTATTACATTTACCTTTTGATGAGGCTAGGTCAGTTGTGTTATATACTGTCCTACCTTCTGGCTTTACCTGATTGTTTCCTTGTGATTTCAATTAACTCATTCATCTATGCCACTTTTTCTATAAACTGAAAGTTAGTTCTCAAGGCTTAATTAGACTTGGGTTAGATATTATTTGGTAAAAATGTTTTATGCAGCATTTTATACTCATCACATCAGGAGGCAGGAGGAGCAAGTTGTTCTGCCACTAATGATACTAAGTTTGATAAGCTGAGATAGTGTCCCCCAGATCTCTTCATTTAAAGGTAAGTAATCTGTGGGATGATTTTTTTTTAGCATTATGGGAACATTCTTTCATCTCATTATTTCAGTATATAGTCGATCCTTGAACAACACAAGTTTGAACTGTGTGGGTCCACTTTATATGAGGAGTTTCATTCTGCCTCTGCCACTTCTGAGTTAGCAAGATCAACTCCTTCTCTTCCTCCTCCTCCTCAGTCTACTCAGTGTGAAGACGTTGAGGATGAAGACTTTTATGATGATCCACTTCCACTTAATGAATAGTAAATATACTTTTTTCCTCCTTATGATTTTCTTCCTTTTTTTTTTTTGAGATGAAGCAAGGAGGAGCAAGTCACTTCTTCACTTCTTACATGGCTGGCGGGAGGCAAACAGAGAGCTTGTGCAGGGAACTCCTGTTTTTAAAACCACCAGATCTCGTGAGACTCATTCACTATCAGAACAGTGCAGGAAAGACCCACCTCCATCATTCAACCACCTCCCACGGGGTTTCTCCCACAACACATGGGAATTGTGGGAGTTACAACTCAAGATGAGATTAGGGTGGGGTCACAGCCAAACCACATCACTGATACCTTAAATTCATGCTGTAACTAAGTTCTTCTCCAGCAGAGAATGTAAACTGTCTTCCAGGTGGGGTTCTTCATCTATCTTTTGCATGTTATGTACCTTTCTTTCAGGATTTTAGTTTGTGTTTGCAATGCCCTTTCTTTTCATCTTGCTCATATTGGATAGGGGCAGCTATTTCTAGATCACGTATCTCCCTATTCTGATATATTTTATAGAAATTATTGTTTACATCCTTCCCACTTTAGGAATGAATTGATCTTATCAGAGCTAAAATATGGTGGCTCCTGTTTTTTCTCCCCCGCCCCCCTACTTTTCTGTAGCCTAATATTGGAAAAGAGCAGAGTAAGAAAATGGGTGAAATCTGTTGGGACTAAGTACATCCTCCACTAAGGGACAAGGTTTTGCTCTTGCTTAAGGTACTATGAAATGACCAGTTCCAGGACCTATCCCATGCAGCCAAAGATATATCTCACACCTGTGAATGTTGGATTATTCCTTTGACTCTGCATAGTACAGCCATCATTCAACCACCTCCCTGATGATGGCAGGTCCTAGTGAAACTATTTTTTGCTGAAGACCTAAAGTCATATGTAGGGTCTTCTCTAAACATATCCCCCTTCTTCACCTCAACCTTTAAAAATGTATACATACATTTGACTTTTCCAAATTGGAGCATTTTTGTGAGAATTTTCATGAGTCTTTCAACTTATCTTCTGTCCTTAGTACTGTTTGTTGAATCTTTTTCCCCCTTATTATCTAGGAAACTTCAGGAATTCTGATACCTTGCTTTAGTCAGCTATTACTTTCTCATCGTTTTATAATAAATGGATCTATGTCTTGGGTTGGGAGGTGTGGGAGTAGCGGTTTATAACACTAGTTCTGTAGTTGGACAGACCTAAATTTGATTCTGGTTCTGCCACTTATTGAATAATCTTGGTTAAATTACTTATTCTCTGGGTCTCAGTTTCCTCACATTAAAATGAAGTTATTTACTTATAGGGTTGTTGTAAGGATTAAAAGAGGTAAGGGATGTAAAGTGCCATTTATTTTTTTTCCCATAGTTTAAGAATCCTCTATTTTTAGTTAGGTACATGGTTGCCCAGAATAAAAACTAGTTCCTAAATCTCCTTGCAGCTAGGTATGCCTATATAACTAAGTTCAGACCAACAGGATATAAACAGAAAAGACTTGGGGTAGCTTTTTCTTTTTTTATTTTGAGATCTCACTCTGTTGCCCAGGCTAGAGTCTACTGCCGTGATAACAGCTCACTGCAGCCTCAATCTCCTGGGCTTAAGCAATCCCTCCCACCTCAGCCTCCTGAGTAGCTGGGCCCACAGGCCTGTGCCACTACACTCAGCTGTTTTTGTAGTTTTTGTAGAAAAGAGGTGTCACCAAACCCCAGACTGGTCTAGTACTCCTGGGCTCAAGCAGTCCTCTTGCCTTGGCCTCCCAAAGTGTTGGGATTACAGGTGTGAGGCACTGTGCCCGACCTAGGGTAGCTTTTGAGCATCTTCCTTTTAAAGGCAGCCAGGATGTGCCCCATGACCCTTCTCTTCTTTGAAATGTACTTGAAATGTATGTTTGATGGCTAGTACTACATCTTGGACCATGAGGTCTAGGGACAGCAGAGCAGAGTGCTGGCATGCTGCCAGTAGCCTGAGTACTCAAGGATTCCTTTAAGCAGAGCCATCATTCTAGGCCTGTACTACCTCCAGGTTTTTGTCAGAAATAAAATTCTATCAAGTTTAAATCATGGCTATTTTGGGTTTCATTTACAGGTGAACCTACTCTACCATCTAAACAAATTTTTTCATCATTCTTAGCATTTAAGAGCAGCATCTGGAGTCAGACTGCCTGAGTTCAAATCCAGGCTTTGTCACTATTTTGTGCATTCCTGGGCAAGTTACTTAAACTTTCCTTACCTTCATTTCTTCATCTGTAAAACGAGGAAATAACAGTAACTACTTCATAGGATTATTACTAGGATGAAGATTAAATTATTTAATACACGTAAAGCACCATTTATAGTGCCTGGAACACAGTAACTGCTATTCATTACAACATAATGTTATTATATTATGAGTTTTGCTCATGTTTTTTAAGACTGCTTATTTCCAAAGGATATTATTACCAGCCTTATTTGATACTTTCAAGTAGAGGTTACTATCTACTGCCATATAGTAATAATTAACATTTATCTAATGCTTTACAAATTAACTTTTCACATATGTATTGTTTCATTCTTACAATTATCCTGTGGGGTAAGTATTGCTATACTTTATTAAATGAGGAGAGTAAAGATCAGAGGATTTAGTGATTTGCCTAAGGTTACAATTGTAAGTGGCAGACTCAGACTTATTCCTCCAACTCATTTAACAGGCTGGTACAGCATGGGGGTCACTAGCAATACTAAAGATAATTTAGGAAATGAACATGTTCCATCCATTCCATTTAAGAGACCCCTTTTCAATACATTTGTACATTTTCTCTGGAAAGCGTCTCTTCCTTTCTAGACCACTGCCCCTATCTCTAACGTAGCCTCAAGCACTACCCCAGACTTCTAATACCTCGTGCTTTGATTACTGCTTTCATTGTTATTTCCTTATTTTTATTCAAAAAAATCAATGACTCCATTATTTTAAGGATACAGTGCAAACCCCTATGCTCAGCTCCAACTACAATATAACCTTTCATGTGTCCTCTTGATCTTATATGAATTCTCCCTTGAACCGAACTGGGTATTCTCTTTAGTGTTCTCTAAATCCACTTTTCTGCATCTACACTTTTGTTTATTCCCTAAACCCATGTGGAATGCTCTTTCAATTTATCTTTACTTATCTCAATTCTATCTATATTTCCTGGTTCCTCCATGAAACTTTTCCTGATGTATTTTATCTGGAAAAACTCTTCCTCTTCTGAATTCTTATATAGAACTTACTGGCCAGGCACAGTGGCTCATTCCAGCACTTTGGGAAGCCAAGGCGGGCAGATCACCTGAGATCAGCAGTTGGAGACTAGCCTGGCCAATAGGGCGAAACCCTGTCTCTACTAAAAACACAAAAATTAGCTGGGCGTGGTGGTGCGTATCTGTAATCCCAGCTACACGGGAGGCTGAGGCAGGAGAATCGTTTGAACTTGGGAGGTGGAGGTTGCAGTGAGCCAAGATCTTGATATTCCAGCCTGGGCAACAGCCTGTTTTGTCTCAAAACAAAACAAAAAGAACAACAATAAAAACTGTCTTTAATTCATTTGGCACTGTTTTATGGCACGACATCATTGATCAACTATATTTTTGCTTGTATCTCAAACCTTTCTCAGACCGTGTTTTTGTTTTTGGTAGTGTTCTTGTTGCCTAGCACAGTGCCATCTCACTTATTTGTTGATCTGTTTCCTTAAAAACAAAGATGAGAGCAATTCAAATCCTCTTCATCACTGCAGGCGGCAACAAATCATCCAAACTCTGGCGCTTCCAGTTCCTTCGAGCTTTCTTACTAGGTCAGAGGGCTGTCTTAAAATTTGAGGGAGATGAATGGAGTAAGCGATTACACTGAAAGCCTGGGAAGGAAAGGACGTTCCAAACGTCCAACCCATCATCTTTTTGCAGCCTCTTAGTCACTGGGATTTTGAAATCTCTTTCCAAAGGCTAGCTATGGCCCTAAATTAGAAATAGGCTACCTGAGAACACAGTGGATTCATAGTTCACCTCGGGCAGTTTTAGGAGAAATGCCACCAGCTTCTGCGTTTGAAGGCCAAGGTTACTTGTTCATGGTGTGAGCACCTTCCTGCTTCCAAACTCTGGTTATCTGTAAATACCTAAGTCCTCTAATTTAGGACGCAGGTCATGGGAAGGCGCCGGTTCTTAGGGCACAAGTGAGCTCACATTCCCAGCATTTTTCTTAAACTTGGCAGAACTGCACTCTAACAAATTAAAATCCATGTGAATGAAAAGGAAAACTGATGTAGGAAACAAACTTAAGCTTGAGTCAGTTACAGCATGGTGAGGATGTCGGTTACAGCAACCCTCTGGGACCGATGCAGGAGAAATTCTAATGGTGGGCTGTAGAGACCGTCTCTGTTCCAACTCCACCGCTTTTCTCCACAGAGACCCATGCACGCCAGCTCCCGCCTCAGTCACAAGAGAACGCCCGAGCGGGCACGCGGTCGTCCTTGATGAACCGCGATCTCCTCACCCCAAGAGCCGCAGGCTCCGCTGACGCCGGTACCGGTCTCGCCGCGACTCCCTCTGGGCGCGCGGAATCCTGGGATTTGTGGTCCCTTCCGCTCACTGTCTGCCCTAGCCGGCGCGGAGAGGACTACGCTTCCCAGGATGCGTCGGGGAACGAGGCCTCCGGGGCCGGGAGAGGGAGGGGGCGGCTCCAGTCCTCCGGGGCGTCGCTGTTTCCAAGCGCCGCGATCTCGCCTAGTAACCGGCAGCGGAGGTTCACTAGCGCGGCGTTGTGGCCCCGCCCCCGGAGCCCCAGCTGAAGGAAGAACCTGTCTCCCGCGGCGCCCCAGTGACGAAGCCCATCCCCGGGTGCGGGAGGCGGGGAGGGGAGGGCAGGCAGAGGATTTCGCTCGCCCGCGCGGGATCCAGGACGCGCCGGTGGCGTCCGCTGGCAGCAGAGGTTAGAGGCAGAGAGCGCGGGGATGCTCCGCGGACGAGGCTGGCTCGGGAGTGGGAGGAGTGCAGGGCGCCGCCAGGGCGGCAGTGCGCGCGGGCCGAGCAGTCCTGAGGGCGGGCATCCCTCGCACAGCGCGCCGACCCCCGGGACGTGTGTGTCTGTTGGGGGTTGCTGTCCCGCGGGCGACCCCGCTCCACGCTGGGCTTAGGGCAGGACCCGGGATTCCGTAGGACCCGGTGTTTAGCGCAGACGTTTCTGGGGGAGAGGTAAACGATTTTTGCCGCTTGTTATTTAATTTCTCCTGGAACAGGAGCGTTTGTAGGTAGCGCACTCCCTCCGATTGCACTAGTGCCTCGTTTCTTCCGAGTAAGACAGTCTTTCATGATGCTGATTGGAGTTGGTGATCAATGAGAGCTGCTAAGTTCTTTATGGCTTTCTCGGTGAAGAGAAGGTTCACGGAGGATGTGATTATTAAACACACACATGAAAACTAATTGGAGCATCTAAAAAATGACCATTGCATATTCGCCCTCGCTTATTAGGGAAACAGCAAGCGTTCCTTCAAATCGTATCAGCCAGGCAGCAGCATTTACGCATATTTCATATCATTAAGGAGATGGAACTGGAGGGAGAAAGTGGGAGTAGGGGAAAATTTTTAAAAATACCAAACTTGGTTTAGTTTGGGGATAATTTTCTTGGATTGGGTGACTTATGCGAAAAATCTGTTTCTTTCCTCCTCGCTCTCGCATCCTGGATATAGACTGTCAGTTTCGGATCCAAGGACAGCGATGGCAGAACTCACCCGGGTTGCCTGTCAAATCAAGGCTATCGCAGAATAAATCCCGCCGCCTGCCGCGAAGCCCCGGCGCACCGCAAACTTCAGTGAGCGAACTGGGTGATCGCTGTTGGGATATGCAGATCCCTGATGTAAAAGGCGGGGTGGCCCCCCCGAGAGCCTCTCCTGGGGGCCGGAGCCCGCAGGTGCAGTGAGGCGCGCGCGCGGGTGCCGGCGCCCCCAGAGCCGCCTTGCCCGGGGAGAGGGAGCCCGGCGCCCAGCGGGGTCTGGCGGCCGCACACCGGCGGCGGCGGCTTGTCTGCGGCGGCTGCAGCGGATGATGGTGGCGGCCGGCCCGCTGGGCTGTGCCTGTGCGTCGCCTCGGAAATCAGCGCCCAGCGCCGCGCGCTGAGCCCCTGCAGGTCGGCCGCAGCCCCAGCCTCGGCGAGGACGGCTCCGGCGCGCGGGGGGGCGGGGGGCGCGCGGGGTCGGCTTATCATGGCGGATCGGACGGCGCCCCGCTGCCAGCTCCGGCTGGAGTGGGTGTACGGGTACCGGGGTCACCAGTGCCGCAACAACCTGTACTACACGGCCGGCAAGGAGGTGGTCTACTTTGTGGCTGGGGTCGGGGTGGTTTACAACACCCGCGAGCACAGCCAAAAATTCTTCCTGGGACACAACGACGACATTATCAGGTAAGGGGGTGGCCAGGGGCGGCGGGGAGAGGTTGCGTGTGGAGGCTGGGAGGGTGGGAAGAGGATGACCACCTGGGCTTTCCCGGGGTCGGATCCGGGAGCCCCGTGGAATAGAGGATTCTGTCTGGAGCCGCATGGAATTACCGAAGGGCTGCTGATTCTAGGGCCAGGGCAGAAACAGAGTCGGGGGTGCAGGTAGGAAGGAGAGGTGTCTTTTCGCTGTATCCCTCCGGAATCCCGGCTTTTGAATCTCTAGGGAGTTGAGTGTTCCTAATGCGTTCTTGCTGTTCTTTCCTGCTACAAGTGGAAGGAGCCTGGGTAACTCTCAAACACTTCTTCCTTCCCTAACCAGGTGCACGGTAGGACCAATAGCCTGAAGTGTGGGCATCTTCTTTGGGAGGCTGCTCAGTGGGTTTCTCAGTAAGCAAGAGGATTAAAAAAGATCTAAAAGAAATTTTACTACTGGTAATTTGGAATCTTCATCTCAGATGCTTTGGACCTGGGAAATTTCTGCAGTGGGCGGGGAGTTTGTTCTCTAATATTTCACTTGGCAGTGTTTTAATGCCCAAAGCATATTTATAACTAAATGGATGCTTCCACAACATCATTGAGGTTATTAAAGGCTGGCAGCTGCTGGATCACAAAATCCTACCAGCCAGCCCACACAATGACCAACATCTGCTAGCGGATGGCCCAAGACTGACTGACAGGAGAGCTCATTTGGATGAATGGCCATTTTAGGGGCCTTCCCGATTAAATTGAAGGGGGTTACATTGTGATTCTTGGCTCTATCCTCTCATCTTTGGACCAGACACATTTTTCCTCCAGCCGTTGTCAGCTTTTATGTGACCAAACAAGGTATGGGCCAAATGCTGTTCACAGGGAATCCTTTTCAGCCTTCAGCAGTTAAGGAAGATTTTCATCATATGGGAGCCTCAGCCCACAGGGAAAATGACTTGCTGAGGATGGACTACAACTGACAGAGACCATATTTGTACCTTCCAAACTTGTGTGTTTCATTGATGTAGAACAACTACCATTACATTCTCAGAATATTGCCACTTTTGCTCTAAGTTTGTCTTTCACAATGAAATAAATGAAGTGGTGTCATGTCCATGCTTCTAATTTCTCAGTGCAGAGAATGATTTCAAAGATTAGCTTTTTTTTCCCTTCCCAGTGATGTGCTTATATTGCACAAAGGTCTCAGCCTTTTTTTTTCTGAGACCTAAAGTTGAAAAATTGTTACAGAAAGCAAACACTTAATATTCAAAATACAGATTTTAAAAATTCTTGACTTTTTTTTGAAGATGAGAGCTCTAATGTTCTTAAGATTTGGTGGAACTAACATGTAAAACTTTTTTCACGTCACATATGACAAAAATAGCTTTTTTTCTTCCCTCCCTAACATGGTAGTGGTTGTGATTGGGGCATCCTTACATAGTTTTGTTCTGCAGATTTTGCTTCTCTAATTGCTAGGCTGATTATGAAAGTTACAGGTGCAAATGATTAACAATGACTCATGAAAAGGTTAGATGTTAAAAAATTTAAGCCCATTATGTTTTTGCTCTCTCTGTCTTAATGCAGTGCTTTCCATTATAGCATCAAAATAAGATGTAGTCCTTTGGGGGAAGGGAGAGAGTGGCAATTAAACAGAAAATTCCCTGTGGTTAAATAATACTAATGTGACAGTTCGCTGAACTACTTTGTGGATTTGAACTCTTAATCCTAATTTTTTCTCCGATAGAAGGAAAAAAACCAAATGCACTGTTGAAACTGAAGGTGGGAAAAGGGTGGAGTTGCAGTAAACCGTTGTTATGACAAGCAGCCGGGCTAGTGGGATGTGATGAAATCTAGCTTGGGTGGTTAAGGAAACATTCAGATTTGAAGAAAAGGTGAATGAAGTGATGTGTATAACTGGGTTTGTAGGGAGCCTTAACTGATGAAAAGCAAAAGAGACAGTTAGCGTCTGATCTATTTATTAAACTACCTTAGTGACATAGTAGTAAGGCTGATTTCAGAGAAAAGACTGTATTCATAATTCTCCACAATATTTGGTTGGGTCAGAGTATGTACAGATGAGCAGAGTAGAGTTCTTTAACATCCATATATGTCTTTGTACATAAGAATAAAATTAAGTTTAATGAATTAAAAAACACAAACCACAGATTATTATGGAATTAAGAGCTATAAAATTGGGATGTTTATGCCGTTCTTTTGCTTTGTCTTATGTATGTAAATATCTTTTTCTGGTGAAGGCACTGCACAAACCACAATGCACAATTTTTTTGTCCTTATGAATTTTAACTCATTTCCGTGTGTTCTTCCACCTGAAATATTGAAGTTTGTTATTAAATGGAGAGGACTATAGCTAAGGTTCTAATGCAGAAATATTTTGGTTTTTTATTGAATCATTACATGAATATCAAAACTTGTTCGTTTCTAACTCTTGTTTTGATCAAGTGAGATAGCGTAAGTAATTGTCCACTTGGTACATAGCTTTTTCATTAGTTTGAAAGATATATTCATGTGCATACATCTGTACTGCTTTATTTTTTGTGTTGCTTTGCCTAGAATATTAACTAGAAAGCAGCCCAACAAGTATTGATAACACACTCCATTTTATAAAACCTTGTGATCTCCGTGATCATAATGAACCCTAATAATAATGCAGGTTTTGGCAGAGTTCATTAGGGCTCAGCATATGTGTCCTTCTGCTTTGACAGGCTATATGTTTAAGTCAGATTTTTAAAGATGTTGGTATGTGAGGCATAATATAATTTACTGAATGTGGAGGCTTAGTTTTATTCTCTTGAATGATTACCTTTCATTTCAGGTAACAGATTAGAAGATGATGCCATATTTTGGACCTGATAACATTGTGATAGAACAAGTGAATACTTAAAGTAATATTTGCTATTGGGCTAACAACGAGATGCAAATCAGGGCTTGATAACAAGGACAGTAATAGAGACTGGGATAATTACTAACTTGGTTTCTACTTTAGGTAGTAGAACATGACACAGAATGGGAGTAAATGAAAGAAAAGGCCATGAACACATTCATCCTCTGTTACTTCCCTTCCATTTTCACAGTGATTTCAGTTGAGACGTTTATCTTCTCACTCTGGACCCCTATATGTATTGCTTCTGACTAGTTCCCTGTCTCCAGGTTCTTCTCCCTCATTTTCTGGCTCCCAGTTGCAAAGGAGGTTTATCTACAATGCTGCTTTAGGGGAAAGGGCACTGACTTTGTTATCATGCACACTTGGGTATAAATCCCGCTCTGCCTTTTACTGGAGGTATCTGGGTGAGCGGCTTCACTTCTTAGGGCCTTGTTTATTTGTGAAATGGGAGTAACAATACCTAAACTGCAGAGTTGTAACTATTAGAAAAAAATGTATGCAAAGGGTTTAGTGTAGGACCTGGCCCTTAGTTGGTGCTCAGTAAATATTCTTAGTTGTGGTAGAAGTAGTATTTCACTAAACACACACACACACCCCCAAACAAAACAATGATTCATCGTTGCTCACAGGCAGAAGTCCAGATTCCTAAGCTTTCTGTTCTCTCTCCTAACCTACCATCCTATCCTTATTTTCCTTTTTTAAAAAATCATAAATTGTTTGCTTCCCACTTGCCATATGATGACTCTGTTCTTCCCTGCCTCACACTGGAATGATTCATCTTCCCTGCTGGCCCTTCTCTGTCTGTCCAACCCCACCCCTCCAATGGCATAGCGGTGGGAGCTTGGGCTTTGCTGTCAGTCATACTTGAGTTTTAACCTAGGTCTGCCACCAGCTGGCGACTTTACTGAACCTCTTTGAGTCTTAACTATCTCGTCAGTGAAACAATTTGTCACTTATAAAATGGAGTTTTAAAGGTATCTCCTTTGTAGTTTGTTGTGGGGATTACATACAAAAATGTTTGGCCAATGGTAAGTGCACAGCACCAGGGTCCTGTTTGCATCTGCATCCTGCAAGGCCCCATCTTCTGCAGTCTTACCTCTCCCATGAGACCTCGCACCATCCTCCGATGAAGGGGCGCCTTGCACTTCCAAAACTTTGTGTGTTTTGTGACCGACGCTGCTCACTTCATATGTATCATTTAGGGCTATCCTTTCATTCTGTTTTCATTTGTAAGCATATATAAGACCCTTGATGCAGAGAATGAATCTTATAACCAGAGCTAACATCTCATGAGTGCCAAACTCGGAACTAAATGTGTGTATGGATTGATCTGATCCACGCTCTCACAATCCAGTGAGATAGGCACTGTTGCTAACCCCAGTCTACAGGGGAGGCAGCTGAGGCACAGAGAGGTTGAGGATCTTGCCTGTTGTCACTGTCTGGCAGACTGTAGAATGGGAATTGGAACCCAGATTGGTCTGATTCCAAAGCTCCAAGCTTTGGCTTCACTGCTCTGTGGCCTCTTATTTTTCTGTCATTGTGGTCCCTGTAACTGTGACTTCTTCCTAACCAGAAGGTAGTAAGTTGTTACTCTTTGTAACTCCGCTTATCCTCTGTTGGTCTATAAACTGTTTGATTTATTCAAGAATATCTGAAGTAGATCATTAGAATTCTGCCTGGAAATGGAACCATGTTTAAGTTTACTTTAAAAACATCCCCAGCTTGGCCGGGCTAATCCCAGCAATTTGGGAAACCGAGGTGGGCAGATCAATTGAGCTTGGGGGTTCAGGGCAGGACCAGCCTGGGTGGCATGGCAAAACCCCATCGCTACAGAAAATACAAGGGCTGGTTGGGCATGGTAGCAGGGCCTGTGGTCCATGCTATTCAGGGACCTAGGGCAGGAGAATCTCTTTGGCCCAGGAGGTGGAGATTGCAGTAAGCTGGGCTTGCGCCATTGCGCTTCAGCCTGGGCGACGGGAGTGAGGCCCCGGCTCAAGGGAAAAAAAAAAAAGAAAAGAAAAAATTTGAAAAAGAGAAATATCCACAGCTTTAGAACAATGATCTGTTGGAGATTTTAATTTAAAAAAATTATTTTAGTCAAAATTGTGACATGGCTCAAATAATCTAGCACTGCAAATACAATTGAACTTGTTGGATTTGAAGAGACTTGTCTAACAGCCATGGTTGGGTCTGGAGTGTCAGGTAAGCAGGTTCACATGAAGGCCTAGAGATGTGACTTTATATTCTTTAGTCCTTTGACCAGTTTGAATAAGAGAAACATGGAGGTAACCACAAAGAATCAAATCCATATTAACTTGAGTGCTTGCTCTGTACCAGACACTTCATATATATGTCATCCTATTGAATTCTCCCACCCCCAACACTGAGAAATAGGTCTTCTCATGTTACAGGTATGGCTCTGAGAGGGAAAGAGGTTTAATCATAGTTACTCAATGGGACCATCCTTCTGCTCTTTGGATCCCACTTACTCTGTGTATTGGAAAGAGCGTGAAGTGAAAGCTTTTGATGGAAGCTTATAATGATCTTCATGAATGATTGCATTATTGCTCTTTTTATTAATTATAGTCTATTTGGTGATTTTTATTAAGATTTATTTTTTCTCTAAGTTGGGTGTAATTTATTCTTTCGTATTTGTTAGTTCATCAAAAACTCATTTTACATCTATAACGTGCCAGATGCAGGGGGTGTAGCAGTGAATATGACAAAGTTTCTGCTGCCTTGAAGCTTACTTTCTGATAGGGATAGCCAACAGTGAATGCGCAAGAAAATAAGGTGACTATAGGTTGTGATAAGTGCTAAGAAGAAAAATAATCACAGAGAAACTGAGTTGAATGGGGGTATGGAAGCCACCTTAGGCAAGATTTCCAGAGCAGCTCTCTAGGGAGATGGCATTTAAGCAGAGACCTGAAGGGTGTGAAGGGGAAGCCAGGTGAAGATGTAGTGGCAGAGAAGAGGTTATGTGCAAAAGTGTCAGAGTGGGAAGAAACTTAATGTGCCCAAAATTCTGGTATAGATAGCCAGAGAAAGACCAAGGTCATTGTAATTCTCATCCAGGTCATTGATGCCTCATGGGTTTTGGTAACATATGTCCTAGATTTCCAAGGACAGTCACAAATATTCCATTCAGTTATTGTTGTGGATATACTTGTTCTTGTCACATCATGAATCTAATTTTTAATTCAGAAATACGAGACTGGGCTCAATCCTGTCATCCCAGCACTTTGGGAGGCTGAGGTGGGAGGATCATCTGAGCCTGGGAATTGAGGACCAGCCTGGGCAACATCGGGAGACCACATCGCTACAAAACATTTAAAAATTAGTCAGGCATGATGTCATGTGCCTATGATTTCAGCTACTTGGGAGGGTGAGGCAGGGGAATCACTTGAGCCTGGAAGGTCAAGACTGCAATGTGCTGTGATCACACCATTGCACTCCAGCCTGGGCGACAGGGTGAGATGCTGTCAAAAAAAAAAAGAAAGAAAAAAAAAAAAGAAAAGAAACATGACTGTGTTTTCTTTTACCACATAATGGTCACTGCTTGAAAACATTGCACTGAATAAAGAATTATATCAGTCCCACCAACTGCATCAATCAGACATGCGGATTACACTGTGATAGGTGAAAAGCTGTTCCCATGGCAGCAACCCTAATTAGGCAACACTATCCTGCAGCTTCTCCTATCCTCAAGGTGTGGATCTGAACACCTTTTTGAAGCACTGTGAAATTGTTTTCCACAATAGCCACACCATTTTACTGTCCCACCAGCAATGTATGAGAGGTCCAATTCCTTCACATCATTGTCAAGATTTATTACTGCTTGTCTTTTTTTATTATAGCTATGCTGCTGGGTGTGAAATGATATCTCATTGTGGTTTTAATTTTCATTTCCTTCATGATTAATGATATTGATCATCTTTTCATAAACTTATTAGCCATTTGTATATCTTCTTTGGGGAAATATCTATTCAAATCCATTACCCATTTTTAATCAGTTTGTCTTTTTATTGCTGAGTTCTAAAAGTTTTTTTTTTTTTTTTTTTACATATTCTGGGTATAAGTCCCTTATATATTATTTGCAGATTTTTTCCCATTCAGTGAGTTGTCCTATTCACTGTCTTGGTGGTACCCTTGGAAGTACAAAAGTTTTTCATTTTGTTGATGTCCAATTTATTAATTTTTTCTTTTTTTAAGCTTTTGATGTCATATCTAGGCAACCATCACCTAATCCAATGTCATCAAGATTTACTCCTATGTTTTCTTCTAAGAGTTTTATACTTTTAGCTCTTACATTTAGGTAGATTATCTATTTTGAGTTAATTTTTATATATGGTGTGAGGTAGGGGTCCAACTTTATTCTCTTGCATGTGGATATCTAGTTGTCCCAACATCGTTTGTTGAAAAGACTACTTTTTCTCCATGAAATTATCTTGGATGCCCACAGCCTTTGAATTCAGCCAGCAGGGGACTAACTTCTCCCATGTAGAAGATGCTGAATGTTTGGGGGCCCAGAAATGGAAATAACCATTAAAGAGATTAACCTAGAAGAAATAGAAACCATAGGCTTTGGTTGCTATTCTATATTTGTAAAGATGCTATTAGAGCTAATGAATGACATGTAGATTTTTATGTATTTATAAAGTAAACTATAACTTGAAGAGTGAGTGCAGTATTTAGTAACTGCTGGTTTAGGGACCAATAACAGTCTATCCATTGGATTTGTTTACTCCCAAAGGTTTTTGCTTCTTAAAAATGATTTTATAAGCATCAGCCTTGCTGTTGCTTATAACAGGTCTGTTGAGCCAGCTGAGGAGGTGAGTGGTATGGAAAGCAGGGGGAGTTGTAACAGAGGGTGCCCTTTGATCTCTACCC